CCTCGCGTGATCCCTTGTTTGAGAGATCATCACATTCAGGCAAGACGTCGTTGGTGTAGGGATCGTCAACACTGGGATAATCGACGCTGGAGCAATGTGATGTTTTCAGATGAGTCAAGGTTCACTGTTGATTTTTTGGACAGACATAGGAGGGTGTGGCGTCGTCGAAACGAGCGCTTCCAAGACGTTAACGTCATCAGACATGATCGATTTGGGGGTGGTTCTGTTATGGTGTGGGGAGGCATCACTGTTGCTGGAAGAACGGCTTTACATGTTGTTGCAGGGCATGTTACAGGCCAGTACTACCGGGACAACATCTTGGCAGTCCATGTTGTGTCGTTCGCACAACGTCATGGCCGCCGTTTCATCTTCCAGGATGACAACGCAAGATGTCACAGGGCCAGGATCGTTACAGGTTACCTCCAACAACAGAACATCACCACATTACCTTGGCCAGCACTGAGTCCCGACCTCTCCCCCATCGAGCATGTCTGGGACATGCTTGGACAGAGGTTACGTCAACGTCAACAACGTCCTGCCAATGTCCAAGAACTTGCTGCTGCGTTGCAACAGGAATGGGACAATCTGGACCAAAATGACCTTAGACGTCTCATTAGGAGTATGCCACGTCGGATCAATGCTTGTTTGGCAAACAGAGGAGGATTTACCCGTTACTGACTTGGTTGTGTTGCTGTGGTAACTTTGCTGTTTGACCCCGGGTATCATTTTACCCTTATAATGGTCAGTCTGTGCCTTACTTAGTCTAACGATCATTTGGAATAAATCGATGAATGTGAACTTCATTTCATTTTGTCATTTGTTTCTTCGTCAGTTTCATTAGGTGACTTTAATAACACTTAAAAATCAAATATCCCCTACTTTTTTTGAATAGTATATATTACACATGATTAAGTATACTCCTTTTATAAATTTAATAGCTTTCTGTGGAATCATTGAAATATGGTATAGCCTAATATCCCTTGGGTAATATCAGATATTCCCTTCTGATATCATCGTAAATGGATATGTCTTATTATATGTACAATGGCTAAGTGAGTAGGATTGCTGGCTTGGTGCAGAACTGTAGGACGTTAAACTGCATCTCCTTTCAGTCATCAGAAAGGTTTTAAACTACTGTGGAATTCGACTAATTTATATTAAAGATGCATTATGTAGGAGCTAAATCTTCGTATTAAAGTCTGTCATTGAGTCAACTGGTGTGGTTTCGATTCCCCGGTTGTATGTGACAAGGAGTAAGGTCTAAAACTACTGTGGAATACGACTAATCTATATTAAAGATACATTATGTAGGAGCTAAATCTTCCTATTAAAGTCTGTCATTGAATCATCTGGCGTGGTTTCGATTCCCCGGATGCATGTGACAAGGAGTAAGGTCGCCTGTCCAACCTCGTGGGTTTTCTCCTGTTTCCTCCCACCACTAAAGACCCCTACGCACATGTGAATTATTGAAATAAAATTGAACCATATGTTGGTCCCGAAATGACCTAGTTTGCATCAAGTGAATGTTAAACCCCATTTCTCTCTCTCTCTCTCTCTGGTTTCAATTACCCGGTTGTATGTGGCAAGGGGTAAGGTCACTTGTCCAACCTTGTGGATTTTCTCCAATTTCCTCCCACCGCTAAAGACCCCTATGCACAAGTGAATTATTTAAATAAAATTGAACCATATGTTAGTCCCGAAATGACCTAGTTTGTGTCAAGTGAATGTTAAACCTCATTTCTCTCTCTTCCCATTAAAGGTCCTGAGTTAGTTTACTCAATCAATCACTGTTTATGAGAAATATTATTGATCCAGAAAAACAAAAATTTTGCAAAGTTTCATATTGATGTATTTAATATATTAAAACAACAAAAGTTTTATAAAGGACTATATTTTAGTTAAAATAAGGCAAACAATTTTGAGTAAATACTTAACTTAAGTGCTTTACGAAATCCGGCCCAGGTTTTTATCTAAATCTTACATAATGTATCTTTAAGGAATAAATCATTCATGAAGGTATAAATTAGCACCTCTTCCTGTAAAACGCCACTGAAAGATCAATAAAGATGCATCATTTAGTCTTTTAAAATTATCAGCAGATCAGATGACGTTTATGCAATAGGTCAATGATTAGATTATCCATATGAAGGGTTCTAAGGTCATCCGTCATTGAGTCAACTGGCATGGTTTTGATTCCCTTGTTATACGTACGTATGTGACAAGGAATAGGGTCGCCTGTCCGACCTCGTGGGTTTTCTCTGGGTTCCTCCCACTGCTAAAGACCCCTACGCACAGGGAAAGTATTGAAATATAAATTGAACCATGTGTTGGTCCCAAAATGACTTAGTCTGTGTTGAGTAGACAGTAAACCCCATCCCTCTCTCTAAGGTCGTCAAACGCTGGTGAATTTTACCAAGAAGCGTTAAGATGGGACAAAATTCAAGTACAGAAATCCATCCGTGTATTTTGTGTGGAAGTGTAACAGCCCTTGGCAATTGGTATTTTAGGAGAGAGAGAGAGAGAGAGAGAGAGAGAGAGAAAAAATGGGGTTTAACATCCACTAGGTATTTTAGGAAGAGTAGGGGAAACATGGTTGTCGGATAGAATTTCCATCATAGCATACTAGGGGGGTTGGATGGCTGAATGGGTAGCGTGCGCGCGCTGTATCATAAAGTCTGACATTGAGTCGACTGGCGAGGTTTCGAATCCCCGGTTGTACGTGGCAAGGAGTAGGGTCGCCTGTCCAACCTCGTGGGTTTTCTCCGGGTCCTCCGGTTTCCTCCCACTGCTAAAGACCCCAACACGCAAGCGAATTATTGAAATAAAATTAAACCATATGTTGGACCCGAAATGACCTAGTTTGTGTCGAGTGGACATTAAACCCCATTTCTCTCTCTCTCTCTCTTCAATGGTAGAACTGCTGGATCTGTCTTGTAGTTGAAGGGAGATAACCATCTTATAGCAGGCTAATATGGCCAGGCATGTTACGGTTACTGTCAATCAGTTTAGTATGGCCTGGTTGGTGCAAACCAGAAAAGTATGACATAGTAAGTGCAGGAGGACCGCACTCATGGGCGCTGGAACGGCGCCAGGGCCAGGGTACCACAAGATAGAGGGGGGGGGTGCCGGAGGGTTCTCTGCCACCGGACTCTAGAAAATTTTGAAATTTGTCAATTCCGAGAACGCTGTTTAGAGCGCCTCTAGCATTCCAAATTCCAACATAAAACCCTTTAAAATACATGATAATGAAAGAGACAAAAGCCTGATTATTCACAATTTTCGTTTCATGAGCAATTCATCTCATAAAAAATTCTTTTTAATTTGATATTCAATACACCAATCTTTATCAAGAAAATAGAATAAGCTTTATGAACGAGACAGTAGATTTTAGAGGCTAATAACTAAAAAACAGAAACTACTATCACCAAATCATTTGCCTTTGCCCTTTATCATCTCATGAACTTCATTAACAACTCATAGATATCTGGCCAAGGCATGCACTGATAGCTGATAATGAGAGCCGGTTCGCGACAAACATACGGACAAGACAAACTACAGATATTGCAAGAAATAAACAACAGACAGAGAGAGAGAGAGAAATGGGGTTTAACGTCCACTCGACACAAACTAGGTCATTTTGGGACTAACATATTTTTTAATTTTCTTTCAATAATTCGCTTGCGTGTAGGGGTCTTTAGCAGTGGGAGGAAACCGGAGGACCCGGAGAAAACCCACGAGGTTGGACAGGCGACCCTCCTCCTTGTCACGTACAACCAGCCATCCAACCCCCCAAATAAACAACAAATATCAGATCAAGTGAATGGATCCAGGGACAAAAGGAAATGAAATGAAATGAAATGGGGTTTAACGTCCTACTGTTTTGCTCTGACTGGGCTAATGATGACAGACATATGCCATACAGTGTGCTATGAGGGAAATTTTGCCCGGACAGCGGCACTACAGTCTACTCTTATATCAAATTCCAACTGCCAAGGGATCTTTTACATGCACACCAATGTTTGGACTCCTCCCCGCCCCCCAATCTTTGAAACTGCCTCTGGGTTGATCCATGGGAAGTGACACAAAAAAGGGAAAATGCAAATTATCCCTAGCCTAATGTGTTGACAGGACCTCATTTTTTCCGCCCATCCTCTCACAGTCTCTTTAAAGTTATATTATATAAGGTCCATGGTTATATAAAGTTTGAATGGAACGGTGTTTAATGCATCCCATTTGATAACCTAATCATAGGCTCAGATACATTTAAAATTTCTTAGAAATCAAATGAAATGGGGTTCTGCTCCGACTATGCTAATGAACAAGGGCATATGCCATACAGTGAAATTTCATCCGCACAGCGCCATGACCTAATATCGAACGCCAACTGCCAAGGTTTCTTTTATGTGCACACCAATGTGTCCATGGGACCTGGGCTTTTTTTACCATCCGAACGACTAGACAGCTGTCCATATTGTCTGACTCTTCGTCCTGAAAATTTGTTCGAACTGAAATAAAATGGTGTTCTGCTCTGACTGTGCTAATGCCATATGCCATATACAGTGAAATTTTGTCCGCATAGCGGCACTATGGCCTATACTCTTATATCGAAAGCCAACTGCCAAGGGTTCTTTTATGTGCACACCAATGTGTCCATGGGACCTGGGCTTTTCGTGCCATCCGAATGACTAGACAGCTGTCCATATAGCCTATTGTCTGACCCTGCATCCTGAAAATTTTTTTGAACTTTAGGCTAATCCAGTCATATTCGAAATAAATCAGTATTGTTGTGTAACTTTAAGCTTGTAGAATACTAGCGCTATAAATGGAATTTAAAACTATTTAGTGAACCAGACGGGGCCAGGTTTTGCTATTATTATCAATAGATTTTTAATAGTTTCAGCTTCAAATTTCCCGCGAAAGAGCAAACTGAAACCCGTTCGTATAAACCGGTTGCAGGTGTGTGTTCTTGCGCATGAATATTGTATTCATGACCAAAATGTCGGCACACTGAAAGGTGTGCTTAACGGGAGAGAAGTCATTTCTATGTTTACTCCTAAATTTAAGCTAACGTGAACACTTTCAAACACCGAATTAACATAATTGTGCGAGTGAAAATAGTGATTAAGAAACGTTCGCTGTTGTGAAATAGATAAGACGTGATTAGCATTTACCTGAAGCGAGCGAGACGATTTTCTATTGTTTTGACTTTCGTTCGTTGAGTTGAAGTTTGTTTTGATTTCTACATCGCGTGGCTGACAGGACGTGAGCGCATTTCATCAACGGATCAATTTGAGGATGTGATAGAATTAAACTGACGGCATTCTTTTTCATTCATTTTTGGACCTCAAGTGTGTAAAGTTTTGTGAAATTGTAAAAAGATAAAGTCAAGATGGCCAGTTTTTCAGTGTCAGTCATGTATTTGTGTTGTATAATAGCAGTGTTGTCAGTCGTGGTAACTCAAGTGAAAACAACAAATACTGGTACAGCATTCTATGCAGACAATGGTCTTCAACAAACGGTAGTAGTAAATAGAGTTCCAGGTCGCGAGAAGCGGGGAATGCAACAAGAAATTTTAACATTACTGGGTCTCCATCATCGACCTAAACCCAAAGATCATGGAGAAGCTGATTCGGCTCCTCAATTTATGATTGATTTATATAAATCTTTAGAAAACGAAGAATCCACGCTGGATGATGATGTTAAATTCCACAGTCACAGCAAAGTTCGAGCCAACTCCAGTCTTGGGTTAGATTTGGCAAAAGTTGACGGTTCAGATGTTATTATGAGTTTCATAAACCATGGTAAGTTACAAATGAAATGGAGTTTAACGTCCTACTGTTCTGCTCCAATCTGGGCTATGAGGGAAATTTTGCCCGAACAGCGGCACTACAGCCTACTCTTATATCGAATTCTAAATGTCAAGGGATCTTTGCACACGGGACCTCGGTTTTTCGTCCCATCCGAACGACTAGACAGCTGTCCTTGTCAGCCCCTGCATCACTGACAAGTGGGAGCCACGAGGGAAAATCTGGAAGAACTTTCTCGGCCATTGCAGGGATCGAACACCTGACCTCCAGGCTAGCAAGCCAGCGTCTTACCCACTTAGCCACCGTGACCCCCCATAGTAAGTTAGTATACTTTAGAACTAATGCAGTTTTATATGGTACTTTTAGGTGTACATGTGTACAGTCATGTTCCTGAAGCAACCAAGTTGCTAGATTACTTTACAATTCCCGAAATAGCTACGTTATCTGCAGACATGTGACATAGCAACCTCCACAGAAACCTTGATATAGCACGATGATCAAGGATTCTGATAGGCTCACTATCTGGGTGAATACCCAATCGAAATTAGTGCGGAAATATGCAGAGTATTACGTTAAGGCCTTGATAAGATGTGCGTAGTTAAAGCGAGATCAAGCCTTCAATTGAAGATGGTATACAGTAGGCTATCAAATATTCCACTATGAAATAACTGATATAGCTAATAGGCTACATGTACATGCTGGCTATAAGGCCAAGTTGGCTCAGTCAGTAGGAAGTTCGATCGACAACCCGGAGGTTCGGTGTTTGATCCCAGCGTTGGCCGAGAAAGTTCATTGTGATTTTTGGCATGATTCCCCCTTGTCAGTGGTGTAGGACAGATGGCCTCTGTCTGATCAAAATTTCCCTCATAGCACACTAAATGGCATAGGCCCGTCTTCATTAGTCAAGTAGGAGCAGAACAGTAGACGTTAAAACCTAATTCAGTTCATGACTGAACTATTTGATAAAATTATAAAATAGTCATGTATCTGAGAAAGAACCATTTGCCAAATAAATATTAATTATAATACATATATATATACATGTACATGTAGGAAGAGGACCTTATTAGATAAGTGTGATATATGACAATGACTATGAAATAACTAATATACATAGACAGGTGTGAATTACTTAATATACAACTATGAAATATCAATTAACCAAGTGTGAATTAACTAATATACACCATTAAAGATTAAATATCGAAGTGTGAATTAATTAATATACACCATGCAGTTTACCAAGTATGAATTAATTGATATACACTAGATGCAGTTTACCAAGTATGAATTAACTAATATACACACTATGAAATATCAATTATCCAAGTGTGATTTAATTGATATACACTATGAAGTATTGAATACCTAGTGTTGATTAACTTAGATACACTATGAAATACCAATTATCTAAGTGTGAATTAATTGATACACACTATGGTGTATTCATTAACCTAGTGTTGTTTAACTAATATACACTATGAAATATCATTTATCCAAGTATGAAATATCATTTATCCAAGTATGAAATATCATTTATCCAAGTATGAAATATCATTTATCCAAGTATGAATTAGCTAAGATAGGGATGAGGCACACAAGAGTGAAATAACAAGCCAAAAGTGTGAAATAACAAGCCACAGCTTAACTGTATACAAACAGTACACAAGTGTAGGGGCAGGCCTGCATATAATGATTTTGATTGTACAGTTCCTGACAAAATGTCAGGCATTAATGACATCGTACCTGTCTGATATTTTGAATTTTGTTTTCGACACGTATTTAAAATATCATAAAAAGAAAAATTTGATCCAGATAAATGACCATTGGTGTCTGACAATGTCTGTGACATGTGCCTTGCATGTGTGAAGTGAATTAAACGAAATGGGGGGGTTTAACATCCTACTGGTCTTCCCCGGCAGGGCTATATGAAGACCGACATACGCCATACAGTGCCCTATGAGGGAAATTTTGCCTGGACAGAGCCGCTATTGCCTATTCTTATATCGAATTCCAACTGCCAAGGGATCTTTTACGTGCACACCAGTGTGTACACAGGTTCTCGCTTTTTTTTTTGCCCCATCCAAACAACTATACATTGTCCCTTGCCAGGCCCTCGGTCCTGCACCACTGACAATTGTGAATACCGGTATCGCTAGTTACAAACTGGATTAAGTCCCTAGCAGTATTTTGTTTTGTGAACATTACTGTTAATCGACGAGTGCCTGAATTTGTAGTGTACATTGATTTATTGGTATGTCATTTGATATATATTGAATATACACTATTTTACCAGTTTTCAGTTTGTCCTCTGACTAAAATTTCTTTTTAAGTTTGACCTTTGACTTTTTCTTGGTCGAGACCATGGTTAATTCAATTTGTAATTTATGGTAATAGACCTGACATACTATTCACTATTTTAAGTACATGTACAGTAGGATTCATTAAATCAGAGTGATTTAAACAGGCATTATGTAAGAGCTAAATCTGCCTAATGGAGGCCTTTCTTTAGGCCTTAAATGTTATATAAACTATTAATTAGACATTAATTAACATGACCAAACCATTATCAACTCTCGATGCCATCTGATTTGTCCGATTTTAAGTAGATTAGAACAGTTCTGCCATTTAATGATTTAATTTAAAAATGGTGAAGTGTGGCTAAGCTTTGAACATCCAGTACAGTGGATACAATCAGTGCACACATCTTGTCAACCCTCCAGAGCTTAATATCGTCACTCAGAATGAAGTAATTTGAATGAAATTCTCAATATATTAATTTTGCATAATAAGAACAACCAGCTCTAAATCTTACATAATACTTCTTTAACTGTAGGTTTCAAACTCCATTTGTGTTCACAATGAGGCTGACCTTAAAAATATCTTTGTTTCGCCTAACGCGACCGACTAACTAAAACCACCCCCGACTTAAATTATTTTATTGCACATTTCCGCGATCTTTTTATTTTATTTTGTGTGTCAACCTGAAATATATCACGAGAGTTATTTCAATTTACTATGGCTATGGTTTGATTCATTATTGAAACTGGTTGATCAAGACGAAAGCATCATAGGTGTCGCTTCTCAACAAAATGGTTGTAGACGAAAGCACGTCCATTCCCACGAAATGATTCTGCCTCTATTTTTCTCGAAAACGGATATTGAATATCCGTTTTCGAGAAAAATGAAGGCACAACCCGCACGATCGTTAAAAAACGTGTTGAGGGAGTTTCAAACGTCAGTTTCTGGCAATTCGTGTGCGAGTCGTGTATCACGAAAAATCCCGATGTCATTAATTTGTTTGACAATAAAAGAAGACGAATGTTTGCACCCGGAAAATTATCAAGCTGTCAAATTAGCTCTTAAAAAAAAATCTGAAAAAAAACCCCAACCTACCGACCCTTCTCCTCGATTGTGGGTCGGGTTTGGTGAAACAAAGATATTTTTAAGGTCAGCCTGACTTGATTACGATTTGTTTACTGCAAATGACGGGGGTTGGATGGCCGAATGGTTAGCATGTGCGCGCTGTATCATAAAACCTGTCATTGAGTCAACTGGCGTGGTTTCGAATCCCCGGTTGTACGTGACAAGGAGTAGGGTCACCTGTCCAACCTCGTGGGTTTTCTCCGGGTCCTTCGGTTTCCTCCCACTGCTAAAGACCCCTACTCGCAAGCGAATTATTGAAATAAAATTAAAAACCATATGCTAGTCCCGAAAGGACCTAGTTTGTGTCGAGTGGACGTTAAACCCCATTTCTCTCTCTTTACTGCAAATGAAGGAGATAAAGGGGTTTAAGGTTCTCATGTTCCGCACGAATCAGGCTATTAATTTGAAGACGGTCATATATGTACGTTGTGCAGTGTGCTGTGGGGGGAATTTGGCCCAGACAGTGGTGTTTCCACATAATCATCTTCAATTTAGAAGTATCAAGGGTTCTTTGAATTTGTTAACCAAGATCCTGTACACATTGGCGTGCGTGTAAAAAATCCCTTGGCAGTTGGAATTCAATATAAGAGTAAGCCTTAGTGCAGCTAACAGTCTGGACAAACTTTCCCTCATAGCACACTGTATGGCATATGCCCATCTACACTAGCCCAGTTGGAGCAGAATACTAGGAGGTTAAACCCCATTTCATTTAATATATAATCATTTTTAAAACATTAAAGATACATTATGGAAGATTCGATAACGAGTTGGCAGTTCTCATTATAAAAGTTACAAACTAGATAATCTAAAGGCAATTTGCTGAAAATTTCATTCAAATTGATCCACTATGAACCCAGAACTAAGCGAATGAAATTTCTGCCTAGCCTCGGTCATCATTACTAAAGTCAGTCCGATAAACAGCATAGTCTCGATTATCCATTTAATCGTTAAATCGAGAAGGAAAGTTATGCAGTAAATCGGCTCACAATACATTTAAGATCGCAGTCTAGCGATGCCATCTAGAGCTAATTCTGGTCTGGGTAAGTTAATTAATGTCTAATTAACAATTTATATAACATTTCAGGCCTAAAGAAATACCTGCAATAGACAGATTTAGCTCTTGCATAATGTATGTTTAAAACAATTGATGGACATCCATTGTTTATTTCATTTACACACTTTTCCCTCATAGCACATGGAATGGCTTAATCCTGTCATCATTAGCCCAATCGGAGCAGAACAGTAGGACGTTAAACCCAATTTCATTTCATTTTCTTAACTTGGAACAACTAGTTATCGACTATCATCCAAACAAAATGCAAGCGACAACCAGCTTTTTGAAGGACCATTTAGTTTTATTTACAATTTTGGAAGGTGTGTTAATACATGTAGTGTAGCCATTAACACAGTGTAAGAGACTGTGTGGTGGTTGTTAGTCTACTAGACATTTCAAACAGACAATATTTACATAGAACATATTATCACTTGTTAATAAACAATAGTCTCTTTCATCACAACACATTGTTTACTATTATAAACAGAGTTCACACTGGGAATAGTAACCTACA